ATTCTATAGTATGTAATTTAAAAAAATAGCTTTAATTTATGTCATGATACAACATACCTTAAAAATGTTTTTTAAAAATGTAAGTCATGGTATAGTATGTCATAAATGTAATGCATTATTAATATGGACACTGTAAATAGTCACAGCCGTGTGTAATGACAGCTGTTCTGGTTCGTAGAAAACTTGCAAACCTTGCTTACCTTCATATCATAAGTCTTATTTCTTAAAATCCACTTTAATTCATCTTTTGGTGGAGCTGTGCACATGATACAAATATCCTTCAAATGAACATTTGTTGAGTAACATGTGGTAAAACACTGCAGCTACAGGACGGTGTGTAACTGCAACAAATGGCTGACCTCAGTATTACTCACAAGGCATGTTATTTCTGGGTATACTCTGTACACTCTTGTTGCACTACTGCCTTTTGTGTTGGGAATCTTTATTTATACTTTCTCATGAACAGAAAGAGAAATAGAGATCTGACACATTTTCCCTCTTTCCAAACATTTATCTGAATGTCTTCATATTTATATGAGCTAAGTGTATTGTAAAATATACTCAGGCTGTGTGTATTTTCTTCTCTTTAAAGAAGAAAAGCAGATTCCAACACTAATTTTTCTACCTCCAAAACCGCACCCCAACAGCTGGGGAAGTTCTGTCAGTGCGGTTTGAGAGGTTTAACTCTCTGGTGTCGTTGGGTTTTTTCCTCCTGATATGAGGTAACATCTTCTCTCTGTCTCTTCTTTCCCTCCCTGTGCTCCCCTCCCTCTGTCTCCTCCTCTTTTTGACTCAAGTTCAACAGGACTATGGGAATGATTACTGAGGAGCATTCTCCAACCGTCCTCCTGTCCTCACCTCCCTCCGCTCCTCTCTCTGTGCCCTGTACATTAAGACTAAAAAAACTGAGGAAATTGATAAATTATTCCTTCAAGGCCTCCGTATTTCTTGGGATGGATAATTACTCCTGTCCTCGGTGTTTAAACTCTAATCCCTGCAGCAGCGGTTTTTACATTTTGTTTCCCCAGAGACCTTTTTCCAAATTACTCTTGCAACCAGCACTTGACTTTTGCAGGATCGTCTTTAAAATTATCTGGATTTTTAAGGCAACAAATCTAACAGCCTGACTTTAAAAGCATCCTAACAAAACAAGTGATTTTAGTTAAATTTGTGCCCTAATTTAAGTCTGGTCTAAATCTTTAGAAACATTATTTGCACTAGATTTCATTCCTTAGTATGAATAGAAACAGGATTACTTCTACGATCAGATAACTTTCTTCATAGAGCTGGAGGATTAATCCAGCTGCTTCTTCATTTGACAGCCTCTGAAACAAAAACTGATTAACCTACCTTCCCATAAGACCAAACAAACCCCGTAACACTGCTGCGATGATCACCACCGCTGATCTCGGTGCCATCTGTCAACAAATGCTCACACACGCAGTGGTTTGCTGCAGCATCCTCCGCTTCAAGCTCAAATCGCTTTGAAATTAATCTCATCTTTTAAAGCCTGATGGATTGGCTAAATAGTGATGAGCTGCTTTGATGCTGATTGGCTGCATTCATTACTGAACCCCTCAATCTGTACATCTCATATACTGTAAACTGGGTAAAAATGTATCCCGAATATAACCCAGATGTGATCTTTTTATTTGTGGAAAATGATCAGATCTGGGTGATAGCGGGTAGAAACCAGATTTTTCCTATTTCATTAACTTACTTCCATATTAACGTAATCTCTTGGACATTTGTGGGTCCCAAATCTGCCTGGGCAACAGTTATTCAGCTTGTTTTGCCTCCTCATTGCTTTGATTTTGTTGGAAAACTGTAGTCCCAAAGTCAGCCTTAACTTCGCTCCATGCTTTCTCATGGTGGTGATTTTATGTTAGCTGCAATGATCCAGAAACAATCACTCACTGATCCTAAATATTCCCACCACCCCAGTCCAACCCCTGCCCCACGGTGGATACCAGCCCTACAATCCGCCCTACAACCGGCCCTACAACCCTGCTGCAGAGGCTTACAACAACGACCAAGGAGGCGAAGACGAGGAGGAAGAGGAGGAGGAGGGTCCAGAAGAGCAGGACCCCTATTACCGTGGTTACCCCCCTCGGTACTACCCCCAACAGCCCTCACAACTGGCTCATGGCTACCATGTTTACCGCTCGAGCCCCACCCACTCTGAGGACATGGAGGTGAGGTCGCCGGGCGTCGCTGGGAGGTTTTCACGTGACGTCATGGAGGAGAGTGAGGAGGGAGGACTTTAGAGGAAGGATGGACTCACCTAAAGTGCTTGAGCCCTGCACGCCACAACACACAAACTGATAGTACACACAAATCAGACACTGACACGCACCTACACTTCTACCCCATCTGAAACTGTGGTGAGAGCCCCCCCCCCTCCCTGTGTATCCAGTGGTTTTGTCCACCTGGTGAAACAATGTAAATAGCTCCGTGGACTCTTGTACAATATCTCTGTAACAGGGGGGTCCAAAAAAGTGCCTGATCTATGTTAGCATTATCCAGTGGTAATGTAAAGGTAAGACTTGTTCCTTCTCATCTCACAGCTGATTTCAGGACTTAACCCTTCTTTTTGTGTGAAGCTGCATGTCTCCTTTGAGCCAAACATTGAGTGTGTAACTGGACACGTGCATCTTGTTTTGGTTGTATGTAACTAGCTAGATTATTTCACACTTCAAACGGAGGATGTTGAGCTGGCAACATGTGTACAGGCTGCTTTTTATAAGGATGAACCACGATTCCCCGACTTTAATGCGGTCTTGATTTCAGTGTGTAAACAAATTTTAAAATGTTTTTGAAGTGACAGTATTGTGTATTTTTTTTAATCAACACTTATTGGAGTTAACCCCCAAAATTGACTGTAGAAGTGTCACATTTCTGTTAAAGGGAGACTTCTGTATATTTTAACATGGACCCTATTTTCCGATGTTTTGTGTCCCAGTGACTAATGGAGACAACAACTTTTGAAATTGGTCTAGTACTGAGAGAGGGCGTGCAGCCACAGCTGTGAAATAGGCTGCAGTGTAATCCCTATGGGCAATTCTGCACCATCAATTTACATCCACTAAAGTGCTCGTTTTGCCTCTGACAGGCTCGGATTGTTATCAGGAGTTTTACTTTTTCCCTCAGCAGCAGTTTGTTGAGTTTGAGTGGCAAGATGAAGAATTGTGGAAAAAATAACTGTTTAAACATCACACGCAAGACTTCCTTTGATCAGTTTGTGGTCAGATGATGAATTAGAGGAGCAGCTGCTGCAGAAGTGTGTGAAGGCAAACTCTTTTGCCATTTAGACCCAGCACAGGACCGCAGGGTGAGTGGTTTCCATGGGAACACAGCAAGTTTCATCTAAAGTAAAGTTGGAATATAATGGACAACACTTAAATTATTTGAATTAACAAACTGCTCAGTTTCACTTTTTCAGTGCACTTAGCAATCTGCTCCTCTGCCACGAGAGTGAAATGCAGCTCCAAAAAGAAAAAAAATCTAAATGTGCCCAGTAAATGGGGTGATCTCTAGCTCACCTGGTAGTGTGTGTGCTCCATGTAGGCTGAAGCCTTTGCAGCAGCTCAGGTTTGATCCCAGCCTGTGGCCCTTTGCTGCATGTTATATCCCTCTTTCTCTCACACCTTTCCTATCAATCCTAAACTGCACTATTGATAAAGGCAAAATGCAGCAAAAATATTCTTTAAAGAAAAAAGTGGCAGTAAATGCTGATGTTGTGGTGGTGCACCACAGATAAATGAATGTGTGGCAAACTCTGGAGGTGGCTTGTTGCAGGAAAAACAACAGTGGAAACATTAGTAAGAACTGCAGAGAGGAGTGCCAGAGTTTGTTGTGTTGGAGCAAAGAAAGCGTAGCTTAATGTTATTTTTCTATAAAAGATTTTTATGTCACGGCTAAATATTTAGCTGATTTAAAAAATGTGGAAAAGTCTGAGATTTTAGAACAAGACTCCTCCTTGGGTGAGACTTGGTCACTGTAAAAAATGTACGGGATCAGTGAAAGGTAAGGACAATTGCTTAATTTCTCCATGGGGTCTTTTCTGTAATGTTGTCAGACACTTGTAATAACAATCTGTCAGCCTGTCAGTGGCAAAAACAAACACTTTTAATGGATTTCACAGTGCACAGTTGCCCATAGGGATTACATTGCAGCCTGTTTCGCCGTTGTGACTGCAGCGGTCTCTCTCAGTACTGGACCAGTTTCCTAAACTGGTGTCTCCATTTGTCACTAAGACACAAAAACATGGGAAAATAGGGTCCAGTTTAAAAATACCGAAGTTTCCCTCCAGTTTAATATTACCTTAACACTGTGGAACACAAATATTACTTTTTAAATTATAATTTTGATTCACAGAAAATCTGGCTACCATCACATTTTGTGCTGCGACATTTCACTCTGTTGCTACAAAGATGGACCAGGTGTGTACTGAGTTTTAACACTCAGGCTCGTGGTGAGTTACGAAGACAAATCTGTGTTGCCTGCGTCTCGTGTTGCTGCCCCAGTTTGTTTCGTTTATTGTTCTTATGCAAAGTCGGGCCTGCTCACTGTGGAAGCTGTTTGCTCACTGGTTGACCTCTGACCTCCTGCTGGAATGAGACCTGGATCCAGTTATTACTGAAAACAGTTGGCTGCCTCTCGGAGAAACCAATAAGGACTGAACCACACAAGTGTAAACTTTACCCCCCTTCTGCGCTGCAGTCTGAAAAAACAAGCACTAAAGTAACCAAAAGTTGAGCTGTGAGCTGGCCCCGATCTGAGGTCCAAACTTGAACAGTTTTAATAAGGAATGTGTCTCGCCTCCACGCCCGTTAGTACAATATGATCTTATTTATTTTATATTTTGTTTGCTTTTATAACCAATAAATCTGTAATGAGACTATAAAATGTGTTTTAGGTCATTTGTTTAATTTTAACGACACAAAAAGGTCAAACGTTTACTAGAGTTTACAACATTTATGTAAAAACTACTTGACGAGAAGGGTTATTAAATTCTTTATTAGCTATTTTACAACAGAATTGATTCATACTTGAACAACACTCTGGACATTTCTGACACACTGACAACAAAAAGCTCAGGATTTCTTAACCAAAGTTAACTGTTTTGACTAAAACCACACGGATGGCCTCCATGTTGTCATAGTAACACATTAATTGGTTTCACTGTGAACCCACAAACCTTTAAAAGCAGGATCAGCTCTAACAAATGTCATTTTTATGAGCCAGATCTGATCGTTTCATGGTTGCATAATAGAGGAAAACCCACGGAATCTGATTTTCTCTGATCAGAGCGGAGCCGCATGGTGGAATCTCAAGCTGTTTCTGGATAATTCAGGTCCTCGGTCACGTTGGGCAGCCTTGATTTCATTTCATCTTGTAGTCTTCAGGTCTGTGGAGAGAACACAAGACAACACATTAGTATGGGGAGGCATACAAGTCTGGGAAAAAGAGCCGATAAGGAGAAAAAAACTGACAGATGAGAAACCACACAGATCTTATCGTGTGTTTTTTTGGTTTTTTTTTTTTTTTTTTGGCTTTTTCAAAATGAGACTAGACACAGCATCCTCTTTTTGTGTTTTTTTCCCTTTAATTTTGAGTAGAGATTGCAGCCAACAGATATTATCACGGCATGCTGTATTGGTTTTGATACAAAGTAGAAAAAATGTTATCAATTGTAATAGCCCTGCTATCAACTACAGCAGTATGTTTATGTTGTTGATTTTCTGTCTGAGCTCTGTGTGTGTGTGCGGAGGAGGGGGCCACACATCCAATAATAATCTTTTTCCTCTGCTCCAAGGTTTTCTGAGAGAATATTAACTATGTGTTTAATAAAGGGTAACAATTGAATCGCCCTTGGTGACCTCAACCCCATCTCCCCTGACACGCACACATATATTTGGTCAGTAAAATGAATAAGAGAGAGAATATTAACAAGGCTACGGCCCATCCCTTAAATAAACCAGGATTAGCTTGACCTTGACGACCACACGGCGACAGGCCTGAGCACACGCGCTGATTGGCTGAGGAGATTGGACCAGTAAACAATAAGAAGTGGCTCATTTATCACCGTGCACACACGCTCTGTCAGGGATGCCGAACATAATGCAGGCATGCTGTATGCCTCTGTACAAGGCACGCACGCACAGAGGACAGTATCTGAATGAAAACAGTTTCTGGATCAGAGCCCTCTGTGTGGATTCAGTTTGCACTTATTCATACCAAATGTGGGTTATGATTTGTTCATATGTGTTTGAAGTACCAGATGGAGGGTTCACCACATCACAATCAGTGAAATGGTGTCGGCGTCGTAGTAATTTTTAGGGTAATTTGTAGGTTTAAAGGGTCAGCCTCTTGTGGTAACCAGCCGTGCAGATTTAGCTTTGGTTGTCCGGGTTTTGAGAGTCTGAGATTTCTGCTGCCACGCAAATGGAGGTGAAAGGAATTCTGTGCTTCACGGTACTGAGATATCACATTTAGAGAATTCAATAGCAGCACTGTTTTGTGACACAATGGTAATGTCCCTGTTGCTCTGGATAATCTACAGAAGATTTTTCTTCAGTAAAAAGTGTTTTGTGGATTTTCCGGGATATTTGGGACATGGGGTATTCAATCTTTCTTATTTTCAAATACTTTGAGTACCACACCATTCACCTCCATTGTATTGGGGTGGTTGAGGTTGAGACAACAGACAAATAAAACCCAAACTATGTGTATGGCCGAATTACTCTGGTGTAGGCCTAGGTGATATGAAAAACAAAAATCAAATATCACAATATTTTTTGACCCATTACCTCAATATCCATGTTACGATAATATTGTAGGGTTGACTATTGGTGCTTTCACAAAATATTTACACAATGAGACTTTTAATAAATAATCATCAGTAACGCGGATATAATGACTAAGTGGGTAAAGGCAAATAATTGAACAGCTAGAACAGTGTGGTAAGTACAGAGAGTGACTACGGATGGACATGAGTCCTTGATTACACTTTGAACTAAGACTGACATCCAAATCGGGAAGGGGAATCACCGCCCAATTTCCCACATGTAAACATGACTTTTATATTATTCTCCTATTTAAAAAGGGTAAAATCTTTTTCGTTATACAGCTGGGTTGAGAGTATTGTTTTGCTCAGCGCAGGTTAGCTGCTGCTGCTATGTTAGCTCGTGCCAACCTGGCAGACATTGAAATGACCCTGTAGAAGGAGAGCTCTGGATTCCGGAGATGATCCTTCAGTGCATCTAACTTATGTAATGGCAGCGACAGAAAGTTTGCTGATATTTCTTATGTTAACTTTGAATTTATTGGTTAAATGTCTAACTAAGGCCTGGTTGTTCAATAAATGAATTTCAAATTGCATTTGTTTTTTGTTGTCAGCCAAACTGCATTCCTATTCTTACGTTAGATTTTTTTTTGTTTTGCGAGGAATCGAGTATTTTATATTAATGTAATGTCAGTGCTCAAATACAAAAGTTACTTAAAATGCCCTTCCCTATAAACTACATCACTGTGCTGTAATGCAGCCTTTGAAACCATATTACAAAATCCAAATGTCTAAAATAATAATTAGTCTCACATCACAGTACTGATATATTGTCCCGCCCTGGTCTCAGGGTAAGAAAATAGTGGGGTTATTTTTTGTAATTTGGGTGAACTGACATTTAAATAATTTCACAAATAGTGCTGTCCCAACACCCTGGCACTCATTCCACTGATACAGTGATCATTTCAAATCAAGACTTGCTAGCAAATAGTGTATTAAACTTACTACAAAAACAACCTCCACAAACCTGCCTGTACATCACATTATATATGATGTAAAGAAATATAAAACAGTTGCATGACTGTGTTTTATAGTAGTCTTGTTATCTGGGTAGTTACTGTGTGAAATGGAAATATTTACAACATCCTGGAGGGTTAAAGTGTATTGACTGCAGTAACAGTGGTGTTACAGTATATTAAACTGTGATGTAACTGAAAGTTGAGCCACAAGGTGTAAACCTTCTTCTATTTACCACTTGATCTTTTTTACAAGCTCACCAGCAGTCACAACCTCTGAGCAGTTAAAATGAAGAGAACCAGTAGACTTGAGTGTTGAGCAACTGCTTCTACAGATGAAGAGGACCAACCCTGACCTGGATAAAGAGCTGGGAGATGAATGGTTGGATGGATTGATGGATGTGAGAGCTGAGCAGGTGGAGGAGAGACTGCTCTCAGTTAACCTGTCAGAATAATGTTTACTACAGGTGAAGCCGGAGAAATGCAACAGGACGACATTATCATGATCAGCGAGGCACGGGTCACAATGTCAGTCCAATCTCCAACCAGAAAATACTTGACTCAAAAAGCCATGAATATGATTATGCCAAATAACAGATGCTCTCTCACACCCCGCAGAGAAACCTTGTATGTCCAGACAGGAAGTGGCGGGAAAACAGCCGACTTCCCCCCACATGTGTTTGTGACATTTCACCATTTATATTCAAATGTTTGGCACGACATGCAGGCTGGGGGGAAACAGAAATCTCTGCAAAGTTTCTGTTAAACAACTGCTGATGCACATCCAGAGAGCACAAAGCTGAGGTCTGTTATATTGCAGTGCCCTTCAGTGTTATGTTGTTGGATAATAGCATAAAGAACAATGGTCCTAATTTATAAAGCTTTTCAGGGAAGCTCACAAGGCACTCCAGTGTGTAACCATCAGAGCACTACACCACAAAAACTTTATATGCAGTAAATAAAAATGTCAACTTGGGGGAAAAAAGGTCATATATTTAGGTACTAGAACTGTTTGCAAGTTCCTATAACTGTATTCACACAGGAGCAGTATCATGTGAGTCTTTGTTCTCTGTGCATTATGTCACATACTGACAGCTCTCTGTAGGCTGACAATCATTCACAACACAGCCACATGTGTTTTTAGTTACAGTGAAAATCTTTTTTCCTGCATGATTAAAGTGTCAGAGTGAGACTGGCCACAAAAAGGGGTCCGCAAGCTTTTACATTGGATCGATTCATATATATGTTGCTTTGTGAGTCGGGGTAAACCATAAATTGTTGACCATTCAAGGATTCAATCTAAGGAGCCTGATTCAACTGTTCATCTCACGGTCAAACTGGAACAGTTGCAGGAAAATGTGGTTATGAAACAAAGGGATCACGCCATTCTGGCCATGTGGGGGTGCTGAATATATAATTTTACATAGGAGGCAGAGTGTGATACAAGAGACCCCACACCCACCCTCTAACCTCTGACATGGAGAACCAAGACAGTATTTTTTTTAACCTATGAACACGTCTCTCAAAATCAGCAGCAGCTTAAAAACAGCTGTTTGCAGCTTGCATCGCTCTCTGTCTAAGGGAAAGTTTAGGTGCAAGTAGGACCTGAGAAAAGTGATGAATTCTGCCTGTCTGTCTATCAACCTATTCTGCTTCCTTTCAGTACTGTGGACAGCGCTGCACCTCCACACACACAACAGCTCTTAATGGAAGGCATGCTATTATTAAAAAAGTTCTCATGCTAAGTCAAGATGACAAATTGTTGACTTGGGTGTTTCTGCGTTTTTGTCTGGTGTGGGGAAAGCTGAAACCAATGTCACACATGAGAATATGGATTAATGAACAAAAAAAGAGAAAAATTGATAATTCAGCTGTCAGTCGACACTAGGCAAGACTTGACAAATCAGATTTGATTGTCAATTTTTAGCAGGGACACCCAATGATACGACCACAAGATTAACACAGAACTGTGTGAACATGACTGCACTGTTTACTTCTGACAAGGTCTGAGCAGGACGAGTCAATCCTCTGCACTCATTAACATAAAGACAGGTTAAGTGATACACCACCTACTGTGCCTCTCCTCCAAAGTCAGGTTCACCATTCTGTTGGTACCTTCACCATCTGCCATCAGATTTAAACCTTTATTTCTTTTGAATGCTATATACGAAAAATCTGTTTGAACTGACTACTGAAAACTTGAGAGTATTTGAATTCATTATTTTTACAGATAAATGAGGTGCTGACTGCAACATTCCAAACAGCTGAAAGATGTCGTCTAAAGCTACTTACGACAACTACTGTATCACAATGTCAGGCTGGTTGATGCACACTGAGAGGGTGTGAGAAGTAGAAATGTGACACGGTCCTCAGATCAACATCACCCCCTTCTGGCTGTTCCTCATCAGTACAATACAAGAAAATATGATTATGTGTGTGTTTGGGTGTGTATTAGTCGTTATGGTGCAAAGAACACAAACATTAAAAAAAGACTCCCAAGTGAGTTACTTTCAAAAGTTTGGGACAATTTAAAAAAGCCATATGAAGATAGAAGTGAAGGGTTAGCATTAGCTTTTATTAGCAGAGGTTAAAATCTGTAATTTTCTGTTTCGTTCACAGTATGAGTATTAGGTAATATATATTTTCTCTGCAGAAGATACATTTTGTTACTTGTCATCTTGTAACAACTGAGCAACAAATACTGAAAACACTAATGTAAAAATTCAAGGTTGTCTGTATTTGAAACTTTAGTAGGACTGCACCCTAATATTTGATAGGCAGGTATTCGTTTGTTGGATAAGCATAGTAGGTTTCTTTTTTTTTTTAAAGAAATGACAAAGAAATCATAAAAATATGAATCTTATAAATAGAAATCTCAAATCTTAAATTTGTTGGAGCTAGTATGCTGTTCTGCGCTTCTGTTTCACAGCACTTTGTCTGGCTTTGTCTCGTATTCAGAGCCTTTAATTATGAGCATTTATGTTCAGCACCCCTGCCAGCCAAAGCTCCAGATATTCACTGTTGATTACTCCTGAAGCTCCACAGCCCCAAAAATGGTATTCTGTACAGCCTTAAACTACATCACAGTGTACGATATAATCAACCCTTAGAAGCAAAAATGTTTTACTAAATAGCATACCTGGGAACCACCACACTTAAACATGAAATATTACAATTACACACATTCTGTGTGCACTGTTTTTGGTTTCTCGTGTCTTTCAATAATTTATTTAGATCACAAGCAAGATCATGTTTGGTGACGGTGAGTTTTCTCTCGTGGGCTGAATTAAAAAAAAAAACAGAAGCCTTTATTCATTAGCTTCAGTACCTTGTTTTACAGAATCCCTTGAATGTGTAACACTCCACACAAACACACACCAAAATGGCTGATCAACGATAAAGAGACTGATACTGATAATCCTGTGTGTAATACAGCAGATAATGCTTTCATTTGTATTAGTGTTTAAACACAGTGACATCAACGTGTGTGTGTGCATGGACAGTGTCTGCTGACATTTGTGAGCATAGTGTGTGTTCTACGTACGGTGTCCACAGCCTGGGGAATGCGTCTATCTCCTCCTGTGTGTACTCGCTGAGTTTCCTGGGGATTTCTCTGGGCTGTGGCAGCTCCTCCGTCAGGTTGGCTCGGATGTCATCTGGTAGCTCCTAGTGAGGAGGACACAGAGGAGACACTGAAATTAAATAAATCAAATAAAATGTGGACAGGAGAAGGAATCGAGGGGAGATGGAGTTTAGTAAGAGGAGTAAGACCTGAAAGTTGGTGACATGAAAAACAAGGAGAGAGTAAAGAAGAAGGTAATGTTCACACTTAAAAATCCTCATAAGCAACTTTACAGTGCCTGAACTGCTCTGAATTGTAGATGAGACTGCAGTTACTCACAAGGCTCAGGAAGCCCATCTGCTAGTGATGAGGGATGCAAACTGCACAACATCAATTCTGATGGTGGATATCAAGTCCCGACAAAATAAACGACAGGTATCTGACTTCCCTCAGCTCTAACTTTTAACATCAAACACCTCATGTATTACTTCACACGTCAAAACTCAAAGACCTGGTTTTCTTCCAATGCCTGAAATTAATGATTGTGTTCTCTCGCATGAATAAAAATTACATCCAGTTAATAACTGGGCAGATCGCCAGTTCAATTAACAGTCTGTCGAGCACTTTTTTCGTTTAAATTCATTTCAGAAGCTGTGACGTGTGACGCTGGTGGTTCTCGCCAACATCATTTTAAAACAATTAGAGCTGAATGCTCCCAAATGCCTGCAGATCACTGCATCAGTGACGCAATCAAAGTTTTCTCTTTGAATCAAAGAGGAAGAGGAGACAAGTTGATAGATTGATAACTAAATAGAAACATATTGGTAACCCAATTTTAATGTGATCAAAGCAGTATTTATTCATATTTTTGGCCTCTTGGTGGAAACAGAACAAGATGTGCTGTTGAACACAATGCAGAATATCCAAAGCACAAGACTGACGCCAACTCTCAGTTGCTTATTTACACTTCCAGCAGACACAAAGCCACATTCATTTGGAGTCCTGTTCCTGTCACACAATGACTACAAGTCCAATATTCACTCTGTTAGCTCTGTTTTGGTCTTCACCAACTCCTGAGGAAGATATGCCTCTCTTTAAATGCTTCACTGTGTTCTCCAGCTATTTGCTAACTGTATCTGTTTGTTGTTTGGTGCAGAGCAGGTAGTGTACAGTGGGTTTTTAGATTTTTTTGTTGAGAACAGCTGCCTGCTGCGACTGAAAATAACACTGATGAGTGAGAGTGAACCAAAACAGTAAAGTTTCAGGTCGTAAAACCAAAACAAAGAGCTGAAAGATGCTAAATTGCTCCCAGGGTGTCTACAGGCATCAGACACTCAAACTTAATGCTTTTTAAGACTTTTTTAAGATAATATAAGACTTTAATTTAAGACTAATTTAAGACTGATGATTAACCAAATCTGTCAATAAGACAGTACAATGCCTCTCACCCAATATCAGCTGGGACAGGCTCCAGCCCCTCCATGACCCCTAACAAGATAAGCGGTTACGGAAAAATGTTTGTGACAGTTAAGACCTCACATATTCAAATATAAGTCTACTGACTTTTAAGGCCTCATATTTCAAAAATTGAATTTAAGATAGGATTTAAGACTTTTTTATTTATTTTAATAAATAGATGAATAGATGAAGACTTTAAGGACCTGTAGACACCCTGGTTCAGTAGAACTGAGTTGGGTTATCAGTCTCTGTGGGTTTGTCATTAAGTGTGACCCCTTCCTGAGGTTGTAGTGGTATTCTGGTTACATTGTATAATGTGGTATGTAAATTGACAGTAAACACACCGTGAACATTTGCTTGTCAACGGTAAAAAAAAAGCAACTGGTTGGAGAATCTCACCTGTGCATGCTCCTTTCCTCCTTGACTGTCAGACTTTTTACACATACTTCCATTAAAAAATGATTTCAAGTTTCAAGTATAATAAAGCATTTGTTCAACCAAAAATAACTTGTTTTCATTCTTTTATGGGTCACTGTAACTAGAAATAAGGACAAGAAGATGGAGAAGAAGAAGAATAGTGTAATAGATAAGCAACTTTGAGTTATACAAGAGTGAGAAGACGTAAAGTGCTGCTGAAGGAACCTTTGACCCAGTGGGAAACACTACGGCTAATTGTCCGACTCTTTAAACACACACACCAGCTGAGATAATGTAGGTGAAGAAAAGGACTAACATTCTCCTCCGTCGAGGGCAACACTCAGCTTGAACTACATATATTAGTTTCAGAGTAATTAATTGACATTAATTGTAAAGGTGACCTGGATGAAGGGTGATTAAAACTGGCTCATTCTTCTGTGTCAGTATGTGCAGAGTGATATCAGTGCACCCCTCCTGATAATGTGCCCTCTTCCTGATTGTCCCTAATAAGCCTGGACAATGAAGGCATAATGGGGGCAGTGTGAGGACTCATCAGCTCAGAGAGATACAGAGAAACTGGACTTACATCATCAGGGAAGATGTGTAGTCGCTGCATCATGGTGCGGCGCAGCAGGTTCCTTGGCAGCATGCCGTAAACCGCTAACTTCACAATCTGGTGAGAAGAAGCACATTAAAAAAGGTTGTCACACAATCAGCTCACTCTTTCTTGTAAAAAGACGGCAGATTAAGCAACATTAAATACTTCATTTCCACATTTTTCTCACATTTGTTTCCCAAACTGTGTTTCTCAATGTGAGGCATGTTGCACAAATGTGAATTCGACTTGGACGGAGTTACTGGACTGAGACATTGGACAGAAATACTGGAGCGAGATGTTGGACAGAGGCTGTGCTGACAAATCATTCATCTGTCCAATTCCGTTTCTCCCTCTTCGCTCGCCAACCCTCCGAACCTCATTTTAACTAAACCGCCATCAGGAAACACGTCTGTTGTCACCGGCTGGACTAAAGCCTGCATCAGTGTAGAGCCAACAGCAGAGTTAACGTCTGGCCTGGTTCTGTAAACTACAGATTGGAAACCAGTACAGGTCATTCACCTACGTTTAGTGTTTCCCACAGGATGGGAGCAATTTCACAGTATTTTACGAGCCACACGTGGAATAAGTTGGCAACCCCCCGTGTATGGCTCTCATTCTGCTGTTGCAGTTGACATGTTAAATTATTCTGAACAGCCTGTTATTGCGCAACAACAAATCACTCCTGACCTGTGAAGCGCAGTATTCAGATTAAACACCCTGTGTTCCTCTGATAAGTCTGAAGAGGATACATGCATGCTGTACCATACATATCAAGCAAGAAAGGGTCAACCAAATGTAGGGGTGTAACAATTCTCCAAATCCACAAGGGAAAAAAATCTGGAGCCATGTTTGTGTGTGTTCTGTATTTTTTCTTAAATTGAAAATATGAAAAATATTCCAAAAGAAAATTTGCAGGAGCCATGTGGGTGTGATTTCCATGGTAACACAGACAGATTTATCTACAGTATACTGGAAAAATGACAGACACAGACAGGTCCAGTCAAGATGTGTGTGAGAAAGAGAGGAAGAAACAGAGTGCAAGTGAGACTGGGGCAGGGAGGGGCTGAGAGAATTAATGTGCTGCACGCAGCTCTTCCATGGGAAATAGTTTACCTATTTTATATAGCAAATAAAATCAAAATGTGTTGTACAATGCTGATATTACTGGACTGTGAAATGGAGGACAGGACAGCCATATGGAAGTTTGTGTCTTGGTTTTGTTCTTGGTTTCAGACTGTCGCACCCCTCGACAAATGTTAAAATGAAGACATGGACAATAAACTGATGAGAGTAGTCAAATAGATCTGTTTCAAAATCAACTATCTTTGTCTGTTGTCAAACCTAACATGATGCTCAGTGTTAATGGATATGAGCCACAGGAGCAACACACTGGGCCATAAAACATTACTTCAGTTCAAATGATTAGGCAAGTATTATTTTATATATTTGGTGATGTTAACAAATCTCATAAAACACACCAAAACCAACAATAAGTTTTTCCAGCTCACAACACTTTCTGAACCACAAGCCTATTCATTTCTACCAGGGGTGTATATTTTAAAAAAACAGGTCACAAATGTAAAGTTTCATCTTTAATTAAAAAGCTTAATAATTTCCTACACTGCTACACCAACAGAAGTACAGTGGTATACTGATATTTTGGGGTCTCATTTATAATACAATGCATAGGATCTGTACTAAAAATGCACATACAAAAAGCAAAAAAATATTTGACAATTTCTACAATCCGGCTTCCACCTCACCATCTGCGTGGCCAATTTCCCATCTCAAAATGTTCATAAGCATGGGTCAAAGTTTGTCCCATCAAGTCTGTTTTTATACATCACAGCTTCTGAATGGGAAGCGGCGTACACCTTTTTCAGGCCTCTTTTTGTGCGTATACAATGTTTATAAATGAGAACCCTGGTGAGTATTTACAGCAGCAGGACCGTGTATGTGGGATTACCTTAAAAATAAACTACAGTGTCTGTGTTCACCAGAAAGAAGGAGCACGTTTCCCCATCAATTAACAGTCTTAATAGAGGCTCTGAAGCACAGAGGAACAGGCTATTATCAGGCTTGGGCTACAGAAGAAGAAATACTCCTTAGTGGATCAATTTATTGTTGGTTTTGGTCTTTTCATAGGATTTGTTGACAATATAAAAAAATCCACACTATCGTCAGATTTATCCTTCAGGCTCATGAGTTGTTTCTCATTCTCTCCTTGCAAGAGTCTGTAACCCAAAACCATGAATATGCAACACAACCAAAACCCCAGGGGTTATCCTTGAACTGACATCCTTGTACTGAGTTTCAGAACACACCAACCACCACCATCACCAGTGTAAAGCCACTGCTGTTTAATCCCCATTCTCTGCCCTTCACATTAACATGCACGAGCAGCACATATGAAGGAAGGGATAAATGTCAAACCAAGGAACACCTGCTCTGCACAGCATGGGGCCGACAAAGAAATGAGACTAATCCCCAAGAATGTGGGTTAAATTATACATTCAGTATAATAAAAATTCATGGTGTATGTTATGTGGCAGTGGCACATCTGAGGGTTTTGAATTCTCTCTCAATAGTTATTAAAAAAATGGAGAATACTGTTGATGACACTTACAGCTTTGGGGTCTTTATGGTGCAGCTGGGCAGCTGTGACCTGTTTGAATCCACCTGGATACCTTTAGGGAAAAACAACAAGCTCAGTCAGTCATCAGTCATCAGATGATGCAACACCACTAAGCATTAACATCCGTGAAACCTCTCATGAAATCCATTTACAGCTTTAACAATGAAAGGATGCTACCAGACAAGACAAAGAATATCTTTTACTAAACACAACCTATATACAATATACATCCTGAATACATTAAAGAGCATTCAGTTGTTTTATCTACACTTCTAATCAAATCATTTTTCTGTTTTACCCAATAGAAATACATTAACCACCTGTGAAAAAATGGGAATGCGTGTTAACAATGTTTCAGCAGTCGAAGGATATTAGAACAGCTAAAGCAGACCTCAATGTGTGTTCCTTTAAAGTGCTGTATTGCAAGCCAATCTTGGACCAACACCAGCCACCCATAATTTCTAATATACACCATGCATAAAGTACTTTACTGAGGGAACAGTTTATTGTCACAAATCTGTGAGTCCAGAATAAAAATACAACACAACTCTAATCGACCACAAAAGCTTTATGGGTTGGAAGTCAACAAAACTCAAGTGGGCCATTCCTTTTCCTGTAGTGTGAATGTGACAAGAGACTACTGAGACACTAAGATATGCTTTCTTAAAACATTTCTTTCATTGGTATCAAAGAACAAAGACAAATTGGAAACAGGATAAAAAGGAACAGGGGGAAAAAACAGGGAGAAGTGAAGTATCATATGAGGTAGTATCGACTCACCCAGTGTGAGATGAGTAGACTTTCTGCTCCCACTTGTTTCCAGAGAAAGCTATGTGTCTGCTGTTTATAACTACAACATGGTCACCACAGTCACCTGCAAAGATATTCAGAAGATGTTTATTCTCAGGCGTATCGTTACAGTAAAAATTATGAAGAAATAATTGACTTTTTTTTATCAGAGAGACAGACAGGTACAGACACAGCTAGTTTGGCAATGATAATACCAAATATAGTGGTCAGTTGCAAGACCAACAAAGATTACCGTGACAATGTCAGTTTTTAAAATAAAAGTAATAAGGAAGTAAAAACAGCCGTGAAATTTATCCTGTACTGCCATCATGTGGAAGAAACACACTACAACAACCTTAAAGAGGAACTATGCCCTTTTTCAAATTTTATACATGACATTCCTGTGGTCTAAGACAATCTAACAAATATTAGTAAACAAGGACAACTCTTAAATGAATAGGGACAGATGTTATAAATGACACTGAGAGCACCAAGGAGGCTGTTCTGAGTATATCGTTGCATTTTCTGTTTCAGAACCAAGAACACTACGACAGACTAAAGCTCATATTGGTATAAAAAAGAAAACCAACATTCTGTGGGTCGAAAAAAATCATGCTTCCATACATTGTCTATAGAGCTGTTCCAGACTTTATACTTGATGAAATCACAAGTTTGAGACTTACTTCTCTGAGTTCTGGCTTTGAGAGAGAGGTGCTTGGGTTCACAAACACTGATTGAACTTTCCTAAGCCATGGGAATAATAAATTGGAATTCTTAATAAAGGCAATGTTCTCTAAATATGGGATGTGGTTTCATAGTAGAAAAAAACAATAGTTAATACATAGTAAATAGTTTATGTTAAAGTTAGACAGTTACTTGTGACTTTATAAGTGTGTGTATGTGTGTGTGTCCTGTGACTGGTGGACTCCTACTCACTCAATGCATGGTAGATAGGCTTGTGTTTCCCCTGTAACCTCACAGAACACATAGTCGCAATCTTCCCAGGAGGCTGCAATCGGGCATCGATCAGGAACCAGGAACGAGCAAAGGTCGCCCATTGCTAAGAGAAGAACAAGGAAAGAATGGGTTTAACAAAGTGACCGGCATGGGACCGTTGCATGTTTAATAGTATGAAAAGCAATAGAGACCTGAATATTCATCATTGACCTCTTCACTAAAAACAATCTGACGCGTCACCGTAGGAAAAGCACATGTGTAAATAATAAAATGAATGACGGCTGAATTCCATTTAGCTGCTTTAGTTTTATGGTCCTGGTTTTGTGCATGCTGTCGCACTGTCACTGTCATGACTTACTCTAGAATATAATGGAGCAATCTTTCATGTTTTTTCAGATACACGTAAGTTTTTCTACTATAACAAGTCAAAATATCTTCTGTGAAAAAGGTCTATGGTGGGGCGTTGGTGGCTTAGTGGTAGAGCAGGTGCCCCATGTACAAGGCTGTTGCCGCAGTGGCTCGGGTTCAACTCCAGCCTGTGGCCCTTTGCTGCATGTCACTCCCTCTCTCTCTCCCCCTTTCACGCTTGTCTGTCCTATCAAATAAAGGCTAAAAATGCCCCAAAAAATATCTTTAAATAAAAAAGAAAAAAAAAAAGAAAAAGGTCTATGGCATCAGACTGGGTGGCGACTTTAGTTTAAAGCTCAGAACATTTCCAGTAAGAAATCACATGATTAATTTCTATTTGGTAATGTTGCCATACTTGTCCTGAAATAAAATAAAGACTCAATAACCTTAACCCCATGAACCGAACAGCACCATCAAAAGCACAAATACACTGCTGATCAATCCAAGTCCTATGTACCTTACATTAAATACACAGGCCTATGAATGAAAGCAAAATTGTCAGAAAAACCTCCTCAAAGGAATGTGGCAGATATAGCAACTATTAATGCAATCTAATGTTTGACATATCATAGCCTACATTTTCAAGCTTGTTGGTGGTTGTTAGATGCTCAACTAAAAGCACTTACAAGCCAAGTTGTTCAGATTTTTTTAATTAGATACAATGTAAATGTCTTAAAAAATATATATTAAAAAAATAGTTCAATAAATACTAGTATGGTCCAATTAACTTAAAGCTTAAATCGAAATTAAAATCAAATGTCTTATACCTTGCTTTTAATGTAATTAACACACACACACAGTTCTGAAGTGTGTATATAAATAGTGGAACTTAAAGTAGCCACAGGAAACACAAATGCTTCAAGCTAGCATAATTTGACTGGGTGAAGTTAAGAAGTTATGTTAAAGTTTAAAGGGCTTGAAATAATAACACATTTAACCTATATTGCTTCTCGCAAACTACAGTGTTAACGCTAGGCTGCAACAACTCTCGTTTATTTCTCTAACTGACAGTTAGCTAGTTGCAGCACAACCACACACCGTGGCTAACGTTAGCACATTAGCAACGCTTATTAGCTAACGGCCCGTTTGTGTTTTACAGTAACTTAACGCACATAATGGGTCAACATGTGAGATGAAAATAAGACAATAATGTATAATGTGTATGGTTACCTGGGCAGAGCGGGAGAAACTTGACATTTCGATGAAACTACCTGCACATCCTCAAAATATTTGACCCTCAACCAACGTGTGGCTGTCCGTTTAGTAATTAGTCCCAGTTGAAACAAGATGTGAGACTTCGCGTGTCCTGTGTTACGAGTTTATTCATATTTAGCCCATATAAGAATATAAACCGCCAATTCGTGGCTGCGGTCAACCTAATTATTGCTGCGTTTTAACGGCAACATTTTTAATCAAAGCTCGGGGATATTTTTTATTTTTTTGCATTTATGTAATTTTCCGCTAAATAATAGTTTCTACTCGGTCCTATTTTGACGTCGCACTTCCTTTAACGCAGCACACTTCCTTCCCGCGACAGAAAGAGAGCGGGGAAATTTGACAACCACGGACTACTGCTACAAAGTAACATTAGTTTGGACTAGTTTTTGTACATTGGTAAAAGTGTAGTTTGTGACAATTTGTTTCGCGAGTTAAAAAGAGTTTATTCATTAAAACATTATCGATATAACCTGCCGTTTGACCCAAAATGAGGACTTTAGAGGAGGTTCAGGCCACTCTGCAGATCGCCAAGCTGAAAGAAGAAGATCTACAGAAAACAATCCACTGTCTGTCTTTTGGAGAACACGTTTCATCTGCAGACTACTGCCTGATGGAGTTGGACGACACATTGTGCAAACACATAGAGGCTGGGGAAAGGTAAGGTGCTAATAATGTGAATAAACGTAGGCAACCTATTGGGTCTGCATGTGGCGAAACACACTTGTGTTACCCTTAATAATTTCCCCAAAGCCTAAGGTGACGTCTAAAAAATCATGTTTCATCTGACAAAGTGTTGAGCAAGTTACTCTCAAAATGTTATGTATTACATAACATATTACTAGTTACCTTCATTCGAAAGTAATAATTACAATACTACTCTCTGTGTAGAGTAATAAGTTACTTATTACACTAGTTTTGTGTTACTTTCACCAAAATTTCCTCAGAAGAACTCATAGGCATTTTAAATGGATGAGTATCATGGTGTTTCAAAGTACAAAAGCTGCAGTTTATTACAGTTCATTTCAAATCCAGTGTTGGGCAGGTCTGACCCATTAATGCATTCACATACAGTGGTTACCACTTTGTATTAAAATCCACTGCCTATATTAATAATAGCATGATGATATAGAAGAATTAAATAGCCTAGACCTTTTAAAATAAATGAAATGTCTCGTACACAGGGAGGCACAGACAGAGGATCACATTTTGATAATTATGAGATAAAGATAAATATTTGTGGGCCTGTGATATGAAACACAATAAACAAATGTTGAGGTTAGTACAATAAACAGAACGGCATGCGATTACATCACTATGACGAGCACAGATTAATACATTCAAGCTGAAAGACCCACCTGCTGGTTCCTGGTGTGCCGGTCAGCTCCAACAGCACCACAGAGAGAGTTGTGCATAAGAGCAGGATGGTGTGCTGGCTTTGCTCCGCAGTTGTAGGAGATGTGAATGGAAACACATCCAACATAAACTAACATCACCCAGATGTGCTGATCACCAAGACAAACTGGAGGCCAGCTCCTCCTTATCCCCACTGCTTTCAGGCAGCCTTAGGACTCAAAAGCAGAATGGGATATGTTGTAGATGTTGCAGGTGTATTAATGGAAACACAGTGAACATGATAATGCACAGTATAGCGTCGCCCAGATGTGCCGATCACTGGCACCCTTCTATAATGTAGTCTGTAGTGACATGGCAACACACAACAACCTTCAGAGGATATTTTTCTGGTGGTGCACTTGTAGAAGTGGAGCCGTGTGGATCAGCGTGGATGAATGAAAAATGAAAACAATGAAGAGTTTACCTCAGGTGGTAACATGTTACGTGACATTGTAAATGTAATAATATTACTTGAAATCCTGTTGGTAATGCGTTATATTACTTTGTTAGTGCTAAAACATAATATATTACTGTAATGCATCACCCCCAGCACTGCTGACACCAGCCCAAAATCAAAACGTTATTTAATTTACAGTGATAGAAAACAGAAAAACTATACTAATAAACTCCCAAAACTGTCAGGTTATTTTACTTAGATTAACTAATCAATTAATATACTCATCATTAAAACTTAACTTCATTAATTTAAAACCTGGTAAGAGCACATACTCTGTAAACTTCTGTCTCAACTGTCTTCTTTTTCCTTTTTAACTCATATGATTAATACAGTTGAGGATTATTAGCTGATCTGCAGTGTAGTGGCACAAGATGCATGATCAGGATCGATGTAAACATGCATAAATGTAACCATCATGTTCCCTTTTCCAGTCTAGTGATTCGAGGGGATACTGACGAGCGTGCAGTGCTCTGTAGTGGTGACAAGACCTACGACCTAAAAATAGCCGACACGTCCAACCTGCTGCTGTTTGTACCAGGATGCAGAACACCAGACCAACTCACCAACAGCCAGGAGAGCTCTCATGTGGTGCACACTCAGGTATGGAAATGACACACTTACACGTACCTGCGTGGTATAATGTAACATCCACACAGACTGACACAATATCTGAGTGCATATACACACACTAATTAATCACATACATGAACATTATCCTGCTTCTGTCGTAGATCTGGGGGTTTTGCAACAGCTACTGGGAGCTGAGGAAACAGCGTCCTAAACTGAAGAAACTGAAGAAGATTTTAATGGAGAATCCTTATGAAGGACCAGCTTTGCGGGGGCAGGAGGAGAGTACAGAAAACAGAGTGAGTACATATTCTATATTCATTAATGTCTTGCAGGACTGTGTATATGAGACTTATTTGATGTTTATGGCTTTTAAACCATAAATGTTAGAGCATAACTGACTAAGATGACGTTCTTCTGTTACCAGTACACAATGCAGGATCTGTTGGAGAGGATCCAGGCCAGTGAAGAGGAGCTAAAGACCCACTTGGAGACCATCCATGCCTGTCAGATAGATGGTAAACTGTGATATTTTTGACTAATAACATGTATATTTATTGATAAAGTTATGCTAAAAATGATGCCTCCCAGAGGTACAGTGCAGAAAGGAAGCTTTGATGAATACAGTCTCTCTCTCTCTTAGCTCTATCTACTAATAACAAAAAAAACCAAAACAATACCTACCAGATTTTTAAAGATAGTTTTTTCTGTCTTTCAGGCTACTGGCGTGTGCTGGACTTCGACTACGAGATGAAGCTGCTCGGTCATGTGACACAGCTGGTGGATTCTGAGTCCTGGTCCTCCAACAAGGTTCCCCTTCAAACCAGTCTGGAAGAGCTAGCTCCACTGGAGCCCAAGTAAGATTACATCTGATCCTCATGCTCACACAATGGGAGAGGCAAAATATTAACAGTTTAAATGAGGGCTGATTTTTTTTGTAGCACTGAAGCTTATGAAACAAAAACATAACCAATGAGGTTATATTGTATTTCTGAGCATCAGCCAGGTTTTAATGATATTTTCTTTCACAGAGAGATGATCGAGCACTGTTTGAACTGCTACGGGACACGCTACACTGAAAACGGTAAAGAAAAATAACCATTTGAAACTCAACAGACAGACATTATGTTTTCACCAGTAAATTGGTACTAGAATCCTCAACAATCTGAAAGTACAAAGTACTAACATCCCTGCATCCTCCTTCCTCTACATAGATGAAGTTTTCTATGCACTGCATGAGGATAAAGTGTGTCGGGGCCTGGCACTAATGCTGCTGCAGAATGCTGTCAAGTTCAACCTGAGGGAGTTTCAGGAGGTCTGGCAGCAGAGCGTCCCAGAGGGTATGAGCACAAGACTGGACCAGCTAAAGGTTAGCCTGTACCTCTTTTATATACTCAGTTCATATTTTTTTAATTTACTTTTAAGAGATGAGATTCTCTTTAAAGCCAGCTTGCATTTTAATGCATTTTAGGAATCCGTTTCAATCTGTCTCTGACCTCGACTGTCTCACACTCTGAAACCGGCCTTGGATAATCATGCTTCTGTAATAAAAGAGCGACTTTCTGCAGTTGTGTCTCTCCGCTCATTATTACTAACCTCTTGAGAAACTGACCGTCGCGCTGACAGTGTTCTAAATCTTCCAGAGCGTCGCCCTGGTGGACCGTAACTCCCGTCCAGAGACCATCTGCCTGCTGCGGGTGGAGGATCTCCCAGAGGACACCCTGGAGCGCTTCAACCACCTCTTCACACTCAGAGAGAAATGGACAGAGGACGACATCACGCCATACATACAGTAGGTGTCATCCATTTAGGACATTATGGTAACAGTTGATAAAAGAATAACCATAATGACCTTACTATTCATGTAGTCATAAGGAAAAGTTATGTCTTTGACTATCTGATTATAATGTCTGATGCTTCCTCCCTCTCCTCGTTCAGGGACCTGTGTGGAGAGAAACAGACCACTGGAGCTCTGCTGACCAAATATGCCCGATCTTCACTGCAAAATGGGATCAAGGTCTTTAACTCCAGAAGGCCTGTGGCTACATGAACATGTTCACTGTCATGTTTAATCAATCTATATTTGAGAATTAATGTGGTTATGTTTATTCTCAGAGTGACTTTTGCAACTCTCAAAATTATTTTAACTCATAATTGTCTATAAAAATTCCTTGTTAGCCATGTGAACTATCTTGCAGCAACTTGTAAATAAAAAAAAAAACTTCTAGAAATTCTGTTAGTGTTTTTGTGACTAAAACTAAACAGCATCTTTGTTATTTCAGTTTTTTGTCTTAGTAAAATGCTTCATGTTGGTAATAAAATAAGATTTCATATTATCACATGAATGGTTTGCTCAGTCTTCTATTTTCCTTTAATAATCTGAGTTGGACAAATTAGCTCCTTTTCATTTCCAGCAAGAAAATTGAAATTCAATTGTCATAAACTTACCAGGTGCTGTGCTGAAGGTTGTCCACAAGGTGGTGCTCTATGCTGATAGTTTCAGTATGAGCTCCACACACTGACTAGATGATACAGTATGTGCTGGCTGACATCCAGCTGCATTGTTTATTGTGTACTGTATTCAAATGGCAAGAGAGATCATTCACAGAATCACAGATTAATGACTTCTAAGTCTCAGTCACATTTAGAGCTGAAAGCACTCCACCACCAATCATCAAAATTCAGCTACTCAAGTGTGAACATTTTCTTGCTGTCTTTGTCTCCTTTCTTAGTAAACTGACTCAAAACAAAATGTCACCATCAAATCATTTTTTTTGGCCAACATTTTACAGACCCCAATACTAAATGTATGGCCAGTGGACTAAATCTAGCCCACGATAGGGTGCCACGTGCCCCCAAAACCAAATTGATTAACACAGGATTTTTTTTTTTTTTTACTTTTAATGTATACAATGTGCCAGAATGTATTAAAATGAACAAAATAGACCTTATTTCTCAAAATTATACCAGGGGAGGACCCCCACAGAGGTCCAGGCTAAGCCCCCAATGTCCACAAACCCTTAAAACCTCTCTGTGTATACCATACCTGTTCAGGGTTGTTGTGACTGTCCCTTGACCCTCTGTCATTTTGCAAGTGGCCCCCAAGCAAAGCCAATTGAGTATCCCTGTTGTAGAGTAAACAATCTCCAAAAGTAATCAGTGGTTAATCCATAATGAGCCACAAAGAGCACAATGCACAGCCACTCATCTTTGCTTGACTACACCATTCTCACTCCAGAGCTCCGAAGTAATGGGCTGAACACATTATATATAATGTACTGCATGTACACATCAAGAGACGTGGAACAAGTAATGCTACATTACCAAATTGTTGGTGTTATCTATGAATCAGATCTTTGAGTTAAAATTCATTTTCTTTCACTAAAAAAGTTGCCAAGACAGTTAACTGAGGTGACTACATTAAAGCCGCACAGAGTTGTTACATAGAGTGAATCATACATGGTCAGCGTCTCTAGCTGAATACAGGTCAAACACTAAAATTACCTACGCTTGGTTGATTGTTCACAGCATGATTAGAGCTGCTACAACACATCTGAAAAGACCGCTCAACTTTAGTAACACTAAAAGGTGTTTAATGTAAATTGTAAATACTAGAAACACGGATTAAGACAAGAAAAAGGGGGAAATGCTTTTTTGATCAAATTAATACATAAAGGTGAGATGACAATAAGACATACAAGGTGACAAATCAGGTTTAAACAGATCAGAATAGGTCCAGAAAGCATTAAAATAACACTAGACCACACTGGCTGCTATAGGGGTGCAATGTTCTTTCAGTAATCTAAAATCTCATTTTGGATTTCTACAGATCATCTAATGAAACCTGACCCCGTTTAAACAAAATTGAATGTTTATTTTCAACCAGTCCCGTCTGTGTTTCTCACGTTAATTTGTGCATGTGGTTTTCCTCAGTGGTGCTTCTGTGTGACTCAGTGTGTGTGTTTAACATCACCAGACTGTGTGTTTCTTTGCTAACACAACAGTCTGCATGTGAATCAGTGTTACCGACACGAGGAAGAGCTCAGCAGACAGAAGCTACACAGCGTTTTTTTAACACAGATACACACCTACTCAAACATATCTGTGTTTCCAAGCTGACTTTATCTGCCCTGGCCGACTGACTCACCCTGACATCACCCCTCAGAGGAGTGCTGACTTATCAGTTCATAGGGTGGAAAGATCCCAGCTGTGTGTGTGTGTGTGTGTGTGTGTGTGTGTGTGTGTGTGTGTGTGACATGATTAATTCTTTTTACTTCATCCGCTTCTCCGTATGATCTCCGCTCTGCTCTTCACCCATCCTCCTCTCCATTCCTCCTCCCCCATTTCTCCTTTTCATGAAGTAGCTGCGTCTCATTTTGCGTCATATTCCTCTTTTTATCATCAGAAACTACAAGATTGGCAAAATTCAAAGTATTTCAGCAGAAGACCAGATAGGAGTGACGGGGGTAAAGCCATGATTAATACTTGTTTTAATCATATCACAATATTGCAGTATTTATTTCAGTGTCAGATCTTACATAACATCTTCTAAATGTGGCATTAAGGAAAAAATGTCCCGAGTTAAGCAGATTGTTGGCAGGAATTAAAAATAAAAAACCCCATACATAAACACTATAGAATTGTAACTTTCAAAGGTAACCTTTTTCCCTTTACACTGGAAACTTACAGGAATTAGAGGACATTCAAACATCTCTACAATTTAGCAACACATTTTATTAATGAGTTCATAGTTGTTGCTTGTTTGTTTTTGCAGCACATTAAGGCATTAAAGGAACACTTCACCCACAAAATAACCATTTGTAAATCAGTTAGTCATGCCACGTTACCTTGAATTTGTGAGGAAATCTTTGTTTTTCTTGCATGCCTCCACGTAAAACAGCAAACACATTGATTTACTGTGGTCCACGTTTAACAACAGCAAAACTATGTCAAAACATCCTTTTATAAACTTACAGAACTTGTGCAGTATAATCCAAGTCTCATTTATCCAGTCGTGTGCTCAGTACTTCCCAAATGTATATATTTTCACTTAAACATTACTATTCAAAACTTACCCAAAAGTGAATTGTATATGCTCTCTTCAGCCAGACTCCATTGCCAAAAACAGTAATTTTATCTCACTGAACATGAGAGCTGCTGGTCTACCACTGCCTCCATCAGAAGGTTGTTTGTGTTATTGGGTGAATTTGGTGTATCCAAACTAACCCTTTAAAACACCAAAGTCCCATAAAAACAACAAACTAAGTGATAGAGGCAGTGCCAGACGAGCAGCTCCCACGGTCAGTGAGGTAAAATTACTGTTTTTGGCAATGGAGTCTGGCTTTAAAGGAAGCATAATTCCACTTTCAGTTCAGTACCCCATCAGAAAGGGCTGTCTGTTTGGGAAGTACTGAGCATACGGCTGGATAAATAAGACTTGGATTATACTGCATGAGTTGCTGTTGTTAAACGTGGTGCCTAATCAATCAGTAAATCAATATGTTGGCTATTTTCTTTGGAGGCATGTGAGAAAAGGTTTTCTTTAAGGATTCAAGATAACATGGCATGAGTAACTGATTTACAATTGGTCAGTTTGTGGGTAAAGTATTCCTTTAAGTCAAACACATAACCTGAGAAAGGCCACTACTCTAATTGTCTTGGTATAGTCTCCATCAGTGACCCAGCATTTTGAGTGACTCAGCTTTTTACTTGGGAAAAAATGCAGTTTGTCTCTCGTTCAAAGTATAACGTGCTCTTCTCTGTCAGTAGAATCAACATCATGTAGCATGATCATATACGCATCTATTATGTTGCTTTGGGATTTCAATAAAACTTTTACATGCCCCATCTTTGGTCCTGACAAGACTTTCATATGCTTCCCATTCAAAATAATCTACAGAGAAGTCACTCAATCTCTTTATCATCATCTCTTGGATTCACTTGTTTATCCACACATGAGTCACATTCAATTTGTAAACAAAGATTTACTCTAACTCTTTAAACTCAATCCATTCAATCTCAAGTTTTTCTTTAATAGAAGTTGGATTTGATGATGTGTTTTGGAAACAACCAGTCCAGCCGTCCACAGCCATCATCCTGTCCTCCTGTTTATCCTGTGTGCTAACTGGCTACCTGGGCAACATGTCCTGCAGGTCCGCCACGACATAGGCGACCACGGCCCACAGTGCCGAGCAGAGGTTCATCTCTTGAGGGTCCTGAACGGTCATGGTGTCACCTTCACTGTGGTGGAACCAAAAGTACCGACTGTCCGCAACATGGAGGCTAGCACCTGGAGGAGAGATGGAGGACAAAGATAAAATACAAACTGCTCCACTAAATGCTGGACACATTGAGAGGTCAGCTGTTGAAACTCAAAGTCATGACATTTTACATCTAAAAAGAATCATTAATATTTCATCTGATGTAATCCTCCAAGACATTTCTGTGGAAGAGGAAAGTGGGTCTGATTAATACAAGGAGTGGTGAAATTCCTTTTAACTCAGAACTCATCATAGCTGTATGCATAGTCTGGTCTCAGCATGTGGAAGTCAACCAAAGCCACTTAATACTAAGAAATTGTTAAAAAAAGAAGGAAGAAATCCCCATTTCAATAAAAACAATTTTCACTTCTCACTACAGTGACATTTCTATTCATCTACTCATCAATTTGTTCTTTTGACTGTCAGACCTGCTCTGATTTGCTATTATAAGGAAACAATCATTATTTTAACAACAATGTGTTGGCATAAACAACCTTTTCATTACTTTACCTTCTGGTATGTACTTGTGTAGTGGGAGCTTGAGTGTATTGGCAAAACTTAACATTAAATCTACTTTGTGGGATAGTAAATTATATTCTATACACTCCATTACACTGTCAGTTGGTTCGAGTTCCAGTTTATTGTGTTTAAGGCAATGGCAGCTCTGCCTTTTTCTGGAGAACACTGAGTGTATGCAGCATCTGATTAAGTTAGCGATATGTCTTCCAATTTGGCCCCATGGTTTAATTTATATTTTTTGCTTGTGTTTCACTCTGGATTCCTGCCCACTTAGGAGTGAACAATGGAGATGTGGAAAAAGCTAAACAGTGGACACTGACTTTGGGACTGATTTGTCAAGCTATTATTTCTATGGTTAAAATTTAAATTTCGTTTTTACACTAACAAGATGCTACAGATGAAATTCTAACAGCAACTGAGCTAACTGATAACCAAGCAGGCTTCATCTGCGGAGGAAGGTCATGATATGTGGTTGAAAGCACCAGAAAAGGCCAGTAAGTGGACTCTGATTTGGGTACAGAGGCATAATGCTTTCACTTGAGAAAAAAAAGTTATGTTTGCCCTGTTTCTCTGTGTGATGCCTTATTAAGATTATCTCAGAATTTCGAGAAAAGTGTTCATTAAAAATCTGAAAACACACAAAAATGAGAAATATTGAGATTCAATTCAGAAAAGCAGGAGCAGATTATTTTTCCCATAAAAACATTTCTTAAAACTCTGCAAAGTTTTAATGGGGGGGGGGGGGTCAGCTTGTTTTACTGGGGAAAAATAAATAAAATAAAAAACAGGCTGATAAATATCTCATAATAATCTCAAATATTAAGATCATCTTGTGAATTCAGAAAAACAAGCAGGGTTTTTTTTCCATAAATTCAGAAAATGGATTTCTTTGAATGAATGAATGAATGAATGTATTTTGAACCAAAAATAAAAAATAGATAACAGCATCCGAAAAGGAGTAGGTAGAAGTAAAACTTAAATGTCACTACCCCTTCCTTACATTTCTTCTTTTCACTCATATATTACTTAAACAAATTCCCAAATTTATTTACAACTAATATACAACTACCCCCAGTATATATTTCACCCAATTTAATAAAGGAGTAATAAACCCAGTTTATTTACAGTCCAAGTACCACCTAGTGTTACAAAATAAATATATACTCCCCTAACACAACCTTTCCTCATCTATATCATCATATATTTGTATAGTTTTTCATAAAGTCGTTTTTCTCAGATAAATGCATTATGCTGCCATAGTTGGGACTGTATTGTTTATTTTTTATTACAAATCTAACAATCCACACTCCGGTCCAGCAGGTGACAATAAAGCAAAAATAATAAGCTTGGCAAATGCCAATTAATCCAAAGAAAGAAGCTGAAGTTAGTTTGTTTTTAGCTTTGTTAGCTAACCCTGCAGTCAGCTGTCAGACATGGGTTGAAAGTGCGCATATCCCAGGTGTAAGAGCACGGAAGGGCTGTACTCCCTGCCGGCCGCCAGACAGGTGGCGCACCGCTGGCTGCAGGCTCTGGGAAGGCTCAACATACCCTCTGCTTCTCTTTATGTGTGCAATCTCCACTTTACACGGGACTGCTTCTGCAACTATGCAGAGGTGGAGATGAGCTTCAAAAAGCAGCTTCTCTTGAACCCTAGACGCTGTCCCTATCACTGCACAGGTGGTGACACAGGTGAGTAAAATGACGTCACAGCTCCTGCCTGCAGGGCTTTCATCATTCACCGAGGTGTACAAGCCAGACTCGGTTTGAGCCCCTGCCTAATAAGAGGGGATACGTTTTTGATTGGCTACAATGACCCCCATCCAATGAAAATTAAGTTTTTAACATTTTTAACCTGTCCAATGGAGTATTATTATATTTGGTTTATGGTACAAGACCTATAACAGCCATAATATTGGGGCTTTCCAAGCGACCAAACAAGGGGTATGCGAGGGGAAAGCATCATTTGAAGGTAAGTAATCAAACATTAGCAACAGTGTTGGGATAGTGCAATAAAAAGACTTGCATTAAGTCCAAAATAAAAGTGGGAGGGGTGGAATTAGTGGAATTAACAGAAAACACTTGAATAGTTCAGTTTTTATCATGGGGAAACATCCGACCAACAGTTGGTTATTGCAGCCAAGAAAAGGAGAAAGTGGAGCATGTCCTGATTTCATGCAGGAAATATGAAGATAATGAAGGGCTATGATTCAAGAGTTACAGAGGTTAGGGCAAGTGGAGGCCAGGATTAAAGTGTTTTTAAGTGAAGGGAAAAGGGTGGAGGGGAGAAAAATTATATTTAGGCTTTTGATATTCAACTTATGGCCTTAACGCTTAATAGGGTGCAGGGCGGCCTGCTGCCCTTTCTCTAATTCACAATAGAAATAAATTGATTAAAACTGGGATTTCTTTGTACTTTGAACGCAAAGGTGTTAGAGTGCATAAAAAGCATCAAAATAGCTTATAACTACTAGTTAATATTACAGCTTAAGAACCACCACAACATTCAGTAAACAACTTTTATACTGACTCAATTGTGCTTTGAAGTTTGTATTTGCTAATACAGGCTGTGGTTGTGTAATGTGACATAATAGCTGATTCCCCAAAGAACGGCCAGATAAGAGTGCTCCAGGGATGATGTTTTTCTGTAGGCTGACGCAGAAGATAGCATTACCCTGGTTCCCTCGTCAAAACATCTATGGGATTTTTCAAACTGTGTGGCAAACAAATGTGTATGATACTTACACATATTCTTCAGCAAGATAATCTTCCTGAATAACAATACTTTTATATATTTTTTTTAGCCTAAATGAAATCACCACAAGTAAAATGCTAACATGAGGCTATAAACAAACCACACTATGGTCACCACCACTGCAGTAAGGCTGTTTAGCTGTGTTCGGCGTGTGTTCAAAATTCACGCGAGGGATATTTACTGACATATTTTATGTCATAGAACAAAAACGTAAAGTCTCTTAAGCTTGTGTTTACCACAGACCTTACTTCAGGCATCAAACCAAAAACCCACTGACTTTGAGATGATGTGATAAATAGTACAGCAAGAGGGTTCCTGGTTCGAACCCGGGATGGGGGAGCCCTTCTGTGTGGAGTTTACATGTTCTCCTTGTGTCAGCATGGGTTTTGTGTGTGTATCTCTGGCTTCCTCCCACAGTCCAAAGACACGCAGGTTAATTGATGACTCTAAATTGCCTGTAGGTGTGAATGTGAGCGTACATGGTTGTTTGTCTCCATGTGTCAGCCCTGTGATAGTCTGGCTACCTGTTCAGGGTGTACCCTGCCTCTCGCCCAGTGTCAGCTGGGATAGGCTCCAGCCCCCCTGTGACCCCTAACAGGATAAGTGGTTAGAGAAAATAAATGAATGAATAAAGTCTGTAGCTGCTCCACAGACAATGAATTGAGAAAAAATGTTAGTGATGACACTGAGAGCACCCAGGGGAATGTTCTGAGTACATGGGTACATTTTCTGCTCATCTGGGTACAAAAAAAAAGAAGAAGAAAATATTATGTGGGTCAACAAAAATCAGGCTCCCATTCATTGTCTATGGAGCAGCTCCAGACTTTGTACCCTATGACATCACAAGTTTGAGACTTACTCCTCTGGTTTCTGGCTTTGAAAGAGAATAGCTCATGTTCACAGGTATTGATTAAACTTTATCAGGACACAAAAATAATATTGAAATTCTTAATTCTTAATTTAGGTGTTGTTCCCCTTTAAATGCTGCTACTGCAAAGAATTGTGGGACGACATTGCATGTCGTATGGCACAGGAGATATAAAGGAAGACTTCATAAATATTAAAATTCCATAACAGCTCTTATTAAGGCTGCCACTTTATCACTTCCGGGTCATTTCCCTCAGTTACCTTCTATGCAAACAGGACTGCAGCCTCGCTTTCACTGTGTTCAAAACGATGGCGGAGACGTGTTTTGTTTTCGGATGCAACGCTGCAAAAGAAGACATTGTGAGCGTGCATGTATTACCAAAGGACCTGCAACTCCGAGAGAAGTGGGTGCAGTTTATTTGGAAAAATCGCAATGTGCCGGACAAGCTTCCAGAGAAAACTCGGATCTGCAGTAGCCATTTCCCCGAGCACTGTTTTGAGAATTTCACCCAAAAACAGATGGGCTTTGCCACAAAACTTGTGCTGAAGCCAGATGCTGTCCCGTCCATCTATCCCGGGGACACAGCGAGTACGAGCCTACAAGTTGGTCTGCCTGTAAGTTTATATCCCTTTGTGTTATCTGTTGACTGTGCCCAACTAACTTCCAGTGTGCTAGGTAGTGTTAGCCACCGTACACTCCCACTCCTCCGTCACCTGAAAATCCATTTTTTCCAGGTTATTGCATGTGAGTTATTCCTCAATCCTCTCCTTCGCTGACAATAGCTGGCATGTTTTCCGGTCAAAGCAGTTCATTCTTTCCTCCTCCCCCATGAATTCACCAGGAGAGGGGGAAAAAACGCGATTTCGGACTGGGCTTATTATTGACGTGAA